CTGCCCTGCACGCAGTTCTTTCGGTATTCTGATCGAATCCATGCGACGAACAAACCCGAGCCTCCTCAGGTGCCTCAGCAAAGTATACAGTCCACTGCATATATGCAACTGCATCGGAGCGCCTCTGTGCCTACAACACTCAAGCCAGCGGACGCACAGAATAGGACACAGATATCGTTGATGGAAGCGCTTCGGATAACGAATGTCCCTTCTGTACAGCGTCCATTTTTCACTGCCGTATAGAAGAACGCACAGCACCATAGATTTGTATGCCATCAGCTCCGAACCGACAGTGACCTGGTGGTTGTTCCACACACATTTTTGCAGCTTGCCACATACGGCCGCTACCTTCGATGCGCACATACGCAGTTCGCTCATCATCTTCAGGTCGATAGATATTACGCTGCTCAGATAACAAAACCACGAAGTGGATTCCAAATGATTTCTGCCAATATGGATGTGCGGCATATCAACTGATTCCAGTTCTGGAGAAAGCTGATAAAGAGACTCTTGCTGGTGTTGATGCTGAACCCGAATTTGGCCGCTGTCGAAGCCAGAGCACTAGTCATGTGCTGCAACTCATCTGCTCTGTGCGCAAACAAAGCACAGTTGTCAGCAAACAGCAACATACGGATAGTTGTCTCACACACTGGGGTTCTCTCCCAGAAACGACGAATGTTCCGCAACCCACCATCAACCGGTTGCTTCAAACAGACACGGTAACCACAAGCAGCATCAAAGACACATGACGTCAAGGCATGAAGATAAATGTTAAATACGACAGGTGCTAAGACACAACCGTGCTTCACACCAGAGGCAAATTCAAAACGATCTGAGGTTCGTCAACTCAGCTGCACCATCGCTCGCATACCACTGTGCAGACATCCAACTAAACTTAAACTTACTCGGAAAACCAAACTTACCCAACACCAGCCACAATGCATCGCGGTTCACCGTATCAGATGCCATGGTGAAATCAACAAAAAGCGAGTACAATGGGTGGTGTCGTTCTATGCACTTCTCCTGCAACTGACGACCCTCAAACACCATATCTATAGTGCTGCGACCCGAACGGAATCCGCACTGCTTTACTTCCACGTTCAGTTCCACAACCTGACTGACGAGGCGGTTGAGAAGAATTCTGGCAATCATCTTGCCCACACTGCACAGCGAATTGATACCGCGATAATTACTCGCACATTATGCGCTTCCTTTGCACTTTTACAGTGCTGGCTTAAGGGCATCCTGCAACTCGGATGGCACACGTTATTCAAACCACACGCTTTATAGTAACTGGTGTAGCGTATGCACCAAGGCGAGTCCGCCGTGTTTCAAACCTTCTGGCGGTATACCGTCGGTTCCGGTGCAATTGCCGATTCGCAGCTGAACAAGTGCTCTCTGCGTCTTAACCAGTGTCGGGGTATTGGCAAGACACCTCTGCATCTCTTGTCGTTAAAGATTGTGCAACATAAACCACTCGATCTCTGAACGGTCGTTCAAAAAGAGTCATAGTGCGTTTTCCAGATCTGCATTATGTCTGCCGTTTGTGTGCAGGCAGCACCTGAAGTAGCATTGAGCAGGTAGCATTGAGCAGGTTTTCCAGCGGCTGCAATGCTGGTCAATATACTGTCCTCAATAAGTCAAAGGATTCCTTGTGTTGGTACTGTTCGGCGTAACACTCCATATGCTTCACTTTCTCCCTCCATGAAGCATTCGTGATACGGTGGAGCCCTCAAGAAAATCGTCGTCGAATTTTGTGAAAATGACTCGCCATCTCTGCTTCGGCACGATCATCCATATGCGCAGAAAACATTACATTCGTCTCCGACACCAATACCCCATTGGTCGCATTGTTGCCATCAAACCAATCAGCCTACTTACAGCTTACTCAACCGCGGCAGTCACCATTTTTACATATTTGTTGACGCAGGTCGCTCACTTTGGCTACGGATTAGACATCTCCTAGGTCGGTAGCCATCGACTTCTGCAACTGCTTCCTATTTTCAGCATTACCTAGGGAAAGAAGGTTAGATTTGCACCGGTTCACAGTAGGTGCGCCATAAACTGATTTATGAAAATAGATGTGAAATTTGGTCTGCATCAATTTCTGACTAGTTCCACTCTCAGCTCCACGCATTACACTTGTGTCATGTGAACTTCACGCATAATAAGCTGACGTACAAGTCAAGACAAGTCAAAATAAAATTTGTGGGGACCAGCAGTTACAACATGCTTCCCAAGGAAACGATCTCGGGATGATCATACAGAACGACCTTGGTTACTCGCGACAGGCTGAAAAGGTATCAAAAGGCCAGTCAACATCTTGGACTCTTACGGAGGGCTTTCGGCAATTTTGAGCCATCAATATTTCCACAAATTCTGAACACTTACGTGAGGCCTCACGTGGAATACGCGATCCAGGCTTGGCGTTCCTGGCACAGGCGCGAAGTCGATGCACTTGTAGCTCCTCAACGTACAGCAACCAAACTCGTTACAGGATTGTTTCATCTCTCCTTCCAACACACACTGCAGTCTCTGAGATTTTACCGTGGTAAATATCTACGTCAGCGAGGAGACCTAATTCTGGTTTACTTAAAATTGACGAACCCAACTCACCCATGTCGCAATCTGTTGCAGCTGAGCCAAACTACCAACGTGAGAGGCCATCCGCTCAAATTGGCTGCGTACTACAGTCGACTAGATTGCGGACGCAACGTTTTCTCTCTCCGTGTGTCTCGTGCCATGAATGCCCTTCCGACTCATGTTCTCCTTGCCCCTACATTAACGCTTTTCCAAAAACGCCTCGATGAAACACTTTCCAACTTGCATGACTTGACATAATCCGTTTTACTTCGAGGACGAAGCAACACAAACCTAACCATGTGCTTAATGGCCCTCTCCGCAACGTGGCGGTGCGGATACATGCAGTAGTGTCCGTGTGATTAGCCTACATGTAGCTAAACTGGATTAACCTCTCACATCTGTCAAATAAAGAAACAAACGAGTGAGCGTTGTCGTTTCCTTTTTTTATTTCTCACGCACTGACTGAACTTTAACAGCTCTGTATATTATTTTGCGTGTGCACGTCCAATTCCCACTTAAAACTATCGTTCTGCTGTAGTGCATTCAACTCGGTAGACGATTAAAAGGACAAGTTACTTATTCAATGATCCTTCAAACTGTAATTTTAATTTCAACCACCCTACGGGACTTGTCAAGTATATGCTTTTCGACCTGTGATAAATCATTATATATATATATATATATATATATAACTGTTTGTGAAGTTCCTACTTTGATCAGAGATGACCGGTTCGCTGAGAAGTATTTTTGTTTTGATGGTTATAAACAGGTAGAACCGAACCTTTCCATGAACCTCGGGGCAAACCTCCCGAAAAGAAACCAGTTAACCCCGGATTAATATACTTTATTATGAAAGTAGCATCTGAGTACATTTTTAATGGCTCCATCTGCAGGCTTTCTTCTTCCTTGATGCCATCAAATGTAAATAGAGCTGAGAAGAATACAAATTGATGTTCGTAAGAGGAAAAATCACAAATACTTTCCTGCTATTCTTTTGACAATAACTCCAGGTGACTGATAAACTTCGCAAAGCAAAGTACAGACTCAATAGTGACAATTTCTTTAAAATCTTTGCACTTTGGAAAGTGAACAAAACTTTTATTAGACATCCTTAGCCCATATAGTTAGTTCCGTAATAAAGAACACGATGTCATCATGCAAATAATTGTTGGGTATTTTACTTTGCAATTTCAACTTAGATCAGTTACTTGTGCAGTATTGTCCTCGGATAAAGCCAGATCATGGGGCTAGCTTTAAGCTTCTATGTTATCTGTGCTTTGACGTAACATCTCCAAAGACAATTATTTCTTCCCTCAAGTAATAAGGCTTTTCAGCGCATTATGATATAATAACCAGCGTACTTCAGTATAGAATGGAAAATCTGTGAACTGACTAGCCATAACTTCCAACATATGGTTGAATTGACGATGGTTGAGAGCACGGCTTCTGGTATAATTCACTACCTTGGACTAAATGAAGCACATGGCGTGTAATTCTTATCAAATTCAAGTCAGTTACGCAAAACCTGCTCGATTTTCTGAACGATATCCAGGCTTGTCGTGTTGTCGTGCATGGGATAAGTTCAATCACTTCTTCATAAATATTGCTACCATTATTATTAGCTGTCACCACTGTAAAACTTGCTATACTTCTTAATTTTCATGAAACATTCGCCCTTCTTCCTTTATCACGCTTCTCTCAGCTGCGAAAGCACTGACCCTTAAAATGATTAAGTGGAATCTGAACAGTGCTTGTTATACTGTAAGGAAAACAATCTATTCACATTTTGATAAACACCAATAAAAGTTGTACGAGAGAACGAAAGTGGGTGTGGTTCGCGTGCAATCGGCTAGTCAGATACTATCACCTAGATAATCGTTACACATCGAGCAGTGCTTCCGCCGCCGACAACCAATCCAATCCCAGAGTGATAGGCATAATCAAGCTATGGTTACTGCATCGTAGAAGTGTTAAATCGCTTGGCTCATAACTGCATTCCTGTTTAGGTTGTGTTTTTGAAATCGAGATAAAGGTTGTTGATTGGTTCAAAGTGTGTAACGTATGTTAAATCAAGAGAAGCATGACGTTTTTCTGTGGACGTGCACCTTCCTTCAGTTCAAATTATCAAAACTGCAACTTTGTTTGTTATATGATCCCATCACAGGATCCCTTGAGTGGGCCGCTGGTGTGTTTGCAAAAGGCCGCGTGGTCCCGCCGGTCTCGTCTTTTACAGGCCCCGGATAGTACATTATAGATATCCCCGTCTACGTGATAATCAAACTTGGGGAGGTTTATTTGAGCACGTACAAAAACCGCTTGTTATGACACAACATAGCCCATATAAAGTAGACTATTCCAACCGTCCAGTGAAAACCTCAATTAATCCCAAGCTTTATATTTCAACTCTCCCACTGCAGTACTCCGCCACCCAACCAGAGCGATTATTTTCAAATGGCTTCAGCTTGAATCGAACGGATATCCCGAAATCGCGTTTTATGAACAAATGTACGACGAAGATGCCAAAGAGGCTTTTCATCAGTTGCGACCGTTCTTACCGAGATATTTTGGTGTGTATTACACTCCAGATTTTCGTGGTAAGTTGAGAATAATTGGACAAACCTTATCACCTCCTTTCCATGGCGTCGTCCTGCGATGATGAGCCCGTATGGCGTTACGTCACAATGGATAGTTTAGTGTGGTCTTTTTAAATGTGTGGTTAGATAGTAAGGCACGTCGGTTGTTTTTTCACTCCAAGTTCATCCGTTGGAAAGTGCTACTTTAGCACCTGCAAGCATAATTGCATGCTTCAGACCTACCAAAATCCAACTGAGCGAAAACAGGCGAACAGCATGAGTAGTTTGTCAGTCGGCCTAGCTGACTCACTAGATTTACCCAGTTGATTGGATAAATCCGACTAGAGGGGTCATTTTGACACATTCATTGTGTAAACGGGTTCCGATGCGCAATCTTAATTTTCATTGGACTGAGCCTTAATTGATGCATTCACTAGGATCGAACCTGAGGTAGATAGACGTTGGTGCTTGCACGTCGGATATTTAAAATATTTCGGAAAACCGGTAGCTCGGGTTAATAATTCAGTTGCTCATTCGTTCGCCGAGCTGGGAAATTTGTTTACAAACCTTTCACCGCTATGCGAGGCGGCATCATCAGTGCGTCGAGATTTGGAGTGTAATCTCGCTGATTGAATTGTCGATCCGTAATGGGTGTGTAGGTGATTTTTCGTAAATGACGGCTTCGATCTGTGTTCCGTGATCTCTACCCATTTTCTCATGGCGGAAGTCGTCAAAAAGGCAGCAAGACTATTCATAAAACATCACCTCATCGTAGCACACAAACCAACTGCCACATTGAAGAAAACTCTGTCAAAACCGAAAAAGAAACTGGAAGCTCATGAGCAACGTAATGTTCTATATAGATTAAGTGGTATAAATTGCGTAATGGACTAAGTTGGCCAGACAGGTAAAAAATTAGCAACTCGATTACAAGAGCACAAAAGAGTATGCATAAAGCACTATGCATCATTGCTAGTCTCAGCACACGTGGATGAAAAAGAACCCAGCATTGATTGGGCCAAAATAGAAGTCCTGGCACGAGGTGAAACAAGACGAAAAAGGGAGTTCCTATAGGCCTGATTATCAACAGAAGACTCGACCAACATGCATATTGAGATTGATCCAGTTTACCAGCCACTCCGACGTAGAGAACTTAGAGAAAGTAAGAGACGCCGTTGAATAGGAACAACCCGAGCGAAGGCAAACACAAGCACGCTCTATTTGAGGAATCAAATTCACATAACGTGGTGGCTGAACCATGGTCCGCTCCACACTGAGTGCATGGAACCACTCTTCAAGCCTAGGACGCCACAAGCAACTTGCACCCCGTCCCCTCCAGCAACGACCAACTATCTCCTGGAACCATTACGAAGGATCTAGTCGGTAACATACAGGTAGGTACCTTGTCAATATGCACATCAAGCGCAGGCATACCGAGAATGTCAACCAACAGCCAATCACTTGAAATGACAGCAACAAATAAAACATATCTGTGAAACTATATGGCTATGCCGACACACCTCTTCACTAAATTAGCATATGAAGTAAGTTAGTTACCAATGACTCCGCGATAAATACAAAATGTTCACGAGTTATACAAAAATGCTACAAACGCAATCACGTTAAGGAAGGTAACTATAATTAGCGTAAGCAACGTGGCCAGGTAAAATGTTATCCAGGTAGGCAGAACAAACCATATATATATATATATATATATATATATATATATATATATATATGGTTGGCGGCATCGGGTTTCGGATTTGCCTGTCACTGTGGCAAGCCACAGGACTCCTGCGCCTACAAAGGGACCATGGATGGCTTGCGCTGCACCACCCACAGCTCCAACCACACACCCCATATCCAGTGTAAACCCGAAGGAATAAGACCGGGAGGCATGCGGATGGGAACCACGTTTCATCAACGGAGCCGGCCCACACTCCTTCACAGGCAAACACAAGCACACTATATTTGGGAATCAAGCGAACACAAGGCGGTGGCTGGACCGTAGTCCGCTGCACACTGACTGCATGGAACCACTCTTTGATCCTAACACGGCCACAAGGACAGTGCACTCCGTCCCCTCCAGCAACGACCAACTGTCTCCTGGAGTCAGTATGGACAACGTAGTGGGTAATAGACAGGTAGGCACCTTGTCAACAGGCACATCAAGCGCAGCCACACCGGGGATATCAAACAACAGCCAAGCACTTGAGAGAGAGAGAGAGACAGAGAGAAAGAAAAAGAGAAAAACTCGATTAATGCATAAGGAAACGGTGACATAAACCTTAATTAAATAGCACATGTAATAAATTGTTTGCAAACAAATCCTAGCTAAGTGCACGAGGTCAGGAAATATAGTTCACGGAATGCCATGAACACAAAATTTAATGTAAATCAAATACAATTGGCTTAGGCGATTTGTGCAAGTTAATGGAATAGAGTACAGGGAGATATCTATATGAGAAAGAAAAGCATTAAAGTAAAAACTGTAAACCCACCACCTGAAATAAAGAGACTTAGCATGCAAGCACGCGGTTGGTAAATATATATATATATATATATATATATATATATATATTTAAGGTGTGGGCCATGAGCTATGCCCTTTGGGGTCACTACAGAAGCGACGACGGGTCCTTCAGAGAATTACGGCGAGGCGGCGCGGCGTTTGTAGGCACGCTTAATTCGATTTATTCGATATATATATATATATATATATATATATATATATATATATATATATATATATATATATATACAGTCGATTCCGGTTAATCGGACCACATCGGGACCAGACCATTTTGGTCCTATTAAGCGGCTGGTCCGATTAACCGAAGTTACCCGATGTAACAAGATGGGACGTGCTATACATAACATTGGAAACTACTATTATGACCTGTATTGGCGGCATATATTTATAGCAAACACACAAAAAAGAACTGCTTTGATAACGAACTTTGTTTACTGAAAAAGAATTTTACAAACAAATTCTTCGTAACGACCTACAAGATATTCAGCATGCGAAGTACAGTTTTACACAAAGGGAATACCGAATTCCATTCAGCGTTTGAAGGCCGTATCCAGTGTGGTTTGACGCATTCTTTTAACAGACTGCTTTCGCACAAAATCACCACCAACATGTAACGCCGTAATAGGACTACCTTCATTTCCTTCCTGCATGAAATAGCGGTGCAATTTTTCAATGCATTTCCTTGCATCCTGTTTTGTGACTGGCATCAACACTTTAGGGTTCTTTTCATCACTTCCATGGTCTTCTGTTGCTGTCGTGTGTTACGCTGCTATTCGAGCAACAATGGCAGCATCGCATTCTTCATTTCCATCATAGATTTGGAGTTCGTTGTCGATTGACAAAAGTTCTTCGTAATTTTTAACTTGTTTCTGCTCCACATTCTCGCCGTCATTTTCATTTGCAATCACCATATCCACATCCATCTCGGAGACAATATGCTTAAAGCCACAGTGAGGAAAACAGTTCCGAATTGTCGCACCGCTCATTTTTCGCCAACTTTCGGCCACGAATGTAACGGCTTGCAAAATGTTGACCTTTGCACTGATTTCTCCGGCCGTCGAGGATGAGGTCAGCAAGCCTTCCTCAATTGATTCAAGGATGTAATTCACCAACCTTGCACGATAAAAGGTCTTCAAATTTTGTATGATGCCCATGTCCATTAGCTGTATCAAAGATGTGGTCTTGGGAGGCAGAAATTCCATCTGGATATTCTTCAAGTAATCAAAATTTGAATGTGCTGCACAATTGTCGAGAATTAATAACTCTTTTCTCGACTGGCGTTGTAGCTCTGTGTCCCAATCCTTCACCCATTCTTTAAAAAGTGTAGAGCTCATCCATGCATTTCTGTTCGCACGATACACAACTGGCAAACTGTCCATTCTGAGTCCCTTAAAGCAGCGAGGCTTGGCACATTTTCCTATAACCAGCAACTTCCTCTTGTCCGTTCCGGACATGTTTGAGCAGCACAAGACAGTTACGCGATCCATTGCTTTTTTGCAGCCAGAGAGAGTAGCATGTTTGTAACTTAAGGAGCCGTCCGGTGTAGCCCTATAGTACAACCCGGTTTCATCAGCATTATAGATGTCATCTGCTGGAAATTTTTCAAGAAGCTCTGGTAGTTTTGTTGTTTTCCATTCTTCAGCTCGAGCGCTATTGGCACTTTCTTTCTCACCATGTGCTTTCTTAAATTTTACATCATATCTAGATTTCAATCGAGACAACCAGACGTCCGTAGCTATAAAATCTTCGTGGCCCAGAATTTTAGCGAGTTCTTCTGCTTTGTACTTTAACATTGGGCCACTTACTCGCACGGCTGGTCCAGTAGCAAAGGCAAACCAATCGTTAAGGGCCTCATCGACGTCTGGATCCTTGCCTTCACGCTTCCGTTTTTGGGAAGTACCTCGTCGTCCTTCACATTGTGCCCATTCTTCTCGCAGATCTTTCTCTTGTTTTATCGGGCGCGATGTTGTAGATTTTGCCAAGCAGGTAATTTCCACCAATCGACGCTGGCTAGTGGTTGGTCCCTGTTCCTTGATCTGATCTAGGAAACGAATCTTCTCAGCTAACGTCAAGTCCCGTCGTGGCATTTTCTTAACATGCAACAAGACACGTACAGTTCACTGAGGTGAACTCGAGTATGTCCCCCGGGTATTTCTATGGTTGACCTAGCCACCTGCTGTCCTATGATTTGCCGGACTTGTGTGTCCGTGATCACCTGCCGTGCTCGAGAGTAGACCCGCAATGCGGGCTCAGGGCATTGGGCTCAATGGACGTGCGGTACATCGATCGAGCGGTTAACGACATGTGAACAAGCATGTATGTCTTCGCTCCGCCTACAAGTGTTGGAAACTGCAGTCAGTTTCGGGCGGTTCTGAAGCCAATTATATAGATGTGCCTCAAGGTTGCCACAGTTCAGTTTATCCAAAGGCCAACTCGAATTACCGTAACTGAATGATACGATTTCTTGCTCGACATATGAACTGTGGGT